GTCAGTGGGTGCGTAAGCAGAGATTACAAAGAGACAACGGCGAGTCTCACTATTCCTTTTAGTTCTCACTGTGCCGTTCAGCCTCATAGCGCAGAGGCGACTATCAACTGGGATCCAGTCTAGTAGTGAGTTTTCTGCCCTGGTGCTTAGTGCTATGCCCACACCTGCAAGACCACGAGAGCTAGCTATCGAATCTCCAGAAACTCGAAGGGTGAATTTTGCAGATTCACCAGATTGGTCAGGAGAGGTCAGGTGAATAACCACACTTGGGTCCTGTATGCGTGTCTCACAAACACAGCACACATCCATGCCTCGAGTTGCTAGAGTCTTTGCCAACGAAGCCTGTTGGCCAATTTGACGGAGGGTGCGGACATTGAAGGCTCCAATATGTAATTTGGAGCGTGGTTTAAGGAGACCAAGGATGCTGTTCTGTGGACTCAGATCGTTGTCGAAGGCTGCAGAGGTAGGAGAAATTGAAGATGATGCAGCATCATTAATTAAGAGACGTGAAAGAAGATTAGAAGGTAATGATGGGGGCGGTGGATAGCAGTCTAAGGAAACTTGAGTGGTGATCGAGTTGTGACGGGCGTTGACAATTAACGGCTGCCCACACAGTGGAAGGCTATTTCTTCTTAAGGTACCTGAAAGAGATTTGTGTGACCGCAGAGCCCATCGGACATCTGTTTGAGGCCTGTCACACCCAGCCTTTTGTGTATGATTATCTTGAACTTTTGTATTTTTTGGGCCGGATGGTCGAAAGGAAACGACAAGTGAACCAACACCGCCGCCCGGCAGACCGTGGGGCATGGTAGAGTGTAATTTTGAAGCCGAACTTTTTAAACCCCCCTTCCACTGAGAAGGTAGCATCAGGATGGCACTCGTGGTTATCCAAGGGAAACACCTTACTGCTGTCACACTCCATCCAGCTAGCACCGGTACTTCTCCCTCAGACCACCATCATAGTGTAGTAATTTACACCACAACGGTAACTGCTTTTTGTATAACCACTATCCAACAGACCTTTCTGGTACGGTAGGACCTCGAGGGAACAAGTGTTCCACCAGCATAACTCGTTGGGTCATTGTGATATGCAAGCCCAACAGCCACGTCAAGGTAGTACATATCGGTCGGGTAAGGGTAATTCTTGAAGTGTTCACAATCTTAAAAGACCTTATCAAAATTAACTTCAATAAGAATCCAGTTTACAGGGTTCTTTGGTTAGGATGAACTACTACTGATTATGCTATCTAGAAGGAAAATCGAAGCAATATGACTGGTCAACCAACTACATAGAATACAACAAGACCACTCACTCGAGTTGCAAACATTTCCCATCATTTCACTATAAACAAATAAATCCCCTATTACACTAAGTTTAAATAACAAAGTCATTTATCAAGATCAGTGTGAGAACCAGTATTATTACACAATGAAAAGTGCAAGTTGCTACGCCTCACATCAATCAACAGTGTATCAAGAAGGAACACAAAGAAATTTTTAAAAATCACTCAGTAGTGGTAAGACTTCATCAGAACAGAACGAGAAGAAATGAGAGAGTACTGAAACCCAGTGTCACGATTAGGATGATGTGTGGGTACATCTGCACCATTTATATCGATTCTGAACCACGTCACCTAGAGTCTGCAGCCACTGGTGCCTGTTGTAACGCGGACTCAAAACGAAAAGTCTACACTCCCTCACACGGATCACACCAACAGTCGAAGACCACATACACTGGTGCCATGCTTCAGTCTGACTGCCTCTAATATCTTCCCAGCCTAGACCTACATCAGCTAACCTCGTGCAAAGAAGCGTGGCGAACAAACATGTACAAAGCGTGTCCCAGCCATCCGGATCGATCAAAGCTACCAACCTCATCAACTGACTTTCCTCTTCTACATAAGACTCTACGCCTGACTTCTACGTTGCTGACGCGGTAGCACAATGATACGCGGTCTATGCCACGAAGGCAACGGTGACCGAATACATGAGGCCTTCTCGTGTCCCCTATCTCCAATGGCCAGTTTCACAGCCATGCGACAGAACAGATCGGACTGCAACACGGTACACTCGGCCCTCAATAAACAATCGTATATAACGGCGACACCACAGATCGCGTATGTTGGCGAAGGTCCTTTGTGTCTGTGTAGAGACTTACTCGGTCACTGACCCACCAGGGCTGATCCAACCTCTCATGTAAGTGAAGCGGTCAACCATTCCACTACCTAGTGTCAGACGAAGCATTAACGAAGACCAGTCGTGGGGCAACAGTTTACACTCGAATGGTGAGAAACACCCCCCAAACATTCTCAAATTGCCACTCAAGGTGTCCAGGAGACTGCATTTTGCCGGCGCCTTCACTTCACGGGAAAATGGCATCTGTGGACTCTAGATGTACCATACATCCCCGCGTGATAAGATCAGTCCTTGTGATGACAAACGACGACAAAGACCACCACTATGGATCCGACTGCATAGTGGGCAGCGGTATAGTAGCTGAGGCCCACTTGGGCCGTTCTCCTTTGTTTCTTCTGGGAGCAGATCGCAGACCCATCCTTCTCCGATACAGTCTTGCAAACCACTGACGTTCTCACCCGTTTCCCTGATAGTCCCAAGAAGCTGTCTACTGTTACCTATCCCCACTGCCTTCCTCATCCCTTCATCCTTCGCTACCCACCACTGTTCACGGTCGTTGGGTGAGCTTCATGTCAATCAACATTTAGGTTGCCCCCGCTCTTCATGATGCACCTGTGTCCGAGGTTCTGCGTTGGTTTTGTTGGTCAGTCCGTTCTTCATTGCGCTCGGAGCGTAAGCACAGATTGCAACTAAGCAGAGGCTTAAGCTTTGTACCCACTACCTTTGGCCAAAATCCTCCTGTACACATGGTAGACGTCCAATGTCAAACAAAGGCCTGAATGTTGCACTCATATCTGTGCACTTTGATTTCGTGGGGAAACCACCTCTGGCACCCTGTTATTGTAGAAACTTCAAAGTTGTCAGTGGATGGAAGAAATTCTTTGTCGTTGATAGATTGGTATGGTTAGATACTCTGAGCATAACGACCAAACCCTTTTCCACTGCCGACATCCACAAAACCTGTGTGCTCTCCAGACAGGTCACAACTCTTTCTACAAAGACGTCACTAATAGTAGTGACAATACACCAGATATGCATTCCAGATGACGTGTGCATTGTACGGTTAGCGGTCCTCATCAATAAGCCCCCGGAGACTCGCTTTACTGGGCTGCGTTTTTGCCATCTTTTCTACTAAACGTACACTAGCCAGGTTTTACCTTGCAAATAAGTTTGGAGTGTTATAAAAGTCTGCCGATCAGAAATGACATCTAAACTCTTTCGAAGCATGAACAATGGTTTTGGTGCCGTTAAGTTCGGTTTTATTGCATTCCCACGTTTCCTGCGTGTTTTATGATCTCACCTACTTCTAGATGCAAACGTGTTGCTGTCATTGTGAGACCATCGAGACGCGTACATTATCGGACGTGGATGATTTCAATCAGATACTTTTGTTTATTCGACCACCCACACACTTTGATACTTCCCGCATAAGGTTAAAAAGAGGAATTGGGATGAAGGATTCGGACTAGTCACCATTACTTTGAGAACGGCTGCACCTGGGCCAACAATTTTTTTCTGAGTCGGCGTACATGTTTGGACCATTCAATCAGGCTGCTAACTTGAACCCAGCTGAGCATTTCCTGCCTTGGCACTTAATGCCAAATGTACATCTGCAAGACTGCGAGAACTAGCGATCAAGTTTCCAGAAACTCGACAGACCTAGCATACTGGTCACGTGAGATTAAGCAAATAACAGGCACCAGGAATGCTGTTACGTGGACTCAGATAGCTTTCAAGAGCTGAAACAAGTTTTAGCTGAAGGGACCGTGATAGAGACACGTGAATTATGGCTAAAAGGCGAAGATAGGGGGACTTTAGCGCTGGCACTACTTCTTGAGTTACCTGAGAAAGAAACTGGACTGCTGGTGCGTGACCGTAGAACTCACGGTATACCAGTTTACACCTAGCATATATGCCACTTTTTGAACTTCGAAGTTTTGCTTTGATTAGCTGAGAACCAGCTAGAATATGCAAGCTGCTGCCACCGTAGTCCTGAAGAGCAGGGTATGTTCTTTTTCGGGGGTTGAACTTTTAGAAGACCTCTCTTCCCATAGGAAAGGTAGTATTAGCATGGTACTGCTGGTCATCCGTTACCCCGCCAGCACCAGCCATCGGACTCCCCCCCCCTAACATGGAGTAATAGCTTGAATTACAAGGATAGCCGCATTTTGTCCTGCCACTTCAACAGAACTTTCTGTCATAGTGGAACCTCATTGTGACATGTAAGTCCAACTATCACGTCAAGGTAGAAGCTTTCGACCGTCCAATCATATACGAACACCACCATGACTTTAGCTTTCACCAAAAATCTTAGAACATGAAAATAACCGATAATCGGACTTTAATACAAAGAACGTAAATAAATAATATGAAACATACGCTATGTGAAGTTGAAAACTAACTACATTACTTTACTGCAGCAAGTATCATCTTTGGAACGGTGAACAGAAAAGATGATTTTTTGAGTTCCTTACAATGTAAAAACCCCACCAATGTTACACAGGACATAACATCCATTAAACTTTTTACAACCTTTAAGTACTCAGTGAAGAGGAGTGTAAAAAAGGTACGGAAACACGGTGAAAACTTTTAATTCACTATACCACAAAATGTTTTATAGATGAAATGGCAACCCAAAGTTAGATATGGATGCTGAAAGTTCATGGAGAAAAAACATATACAAGCAAAAAGAAAGTGCTGACAAGTATCATGTAATGCAGCTTAACGCCTTGATGAGCGGCCAGCTGATCGTGAACGCCGGCGCCTGCTCTTAGAAGGTGAATGAGAACGTGATCGACGCCTTCGTCCGTAGCGCTTCTTACTCCGATTGTACAATTTACGACAAAGTTCCCTGGAAATAGGTTTCAAATGCATGAAATTGCAGAATCCACCCTTGTGCATTCCCTAAAAATTCAAAGGTGGAAAAAACCATCGTTAGGTATATATCGAGATACAGTTCAGAGGTAAACAAAAAGGTGTGGTAGAGCAAGAATTAGGACAATAAGAAGTATCATGAAAAAATAAGATGAGAATGACGATACCAACCATTATGAAAACTAGGAAGTAACAGGCTTGATCACGCATCATCATGAGCAGTTATCCACGGTCAACACAAGTAACGACCACTGAGTGTACAAATCAACCACTACTTTCAACCCAAGAACAGAAATTTACCGATGGATTTTGAAATAACTTAGTTGGAGCAAACAATACTCCTTGCAAATCTATTCGATGTTTTTCCTTAAGGAAATCCCTTAACCCTATTTACGAGTCCCCTAAGCACCGCCACTTAAGGAGGTTAAATGTAGTGAATGGAGATGATTAGACACCACAGCGCATAACCATTTCCCAGTCAACTATAAAACCATTTACTTTTCGCCATGTAACAAGGTATAGAATAATGGGATATTCCCAAAATGGAAGTGGTTAGGTAGGCATAACCAAAGCAACTCATACCCATTTGCTTGTTATTTGCAGTCCACATACACAACCAGGTAGGACTGATGTTCGACCTGTTCCACAATCATCGTTTTTACTTGAGCCCGACTAAAGAAAACACGGAGTGGATTTTTCTTGTCAGCATAGAAAACACGTTGGCACTGAGCACTTAGAATCACTTAATGGAGCAAATATTCATTGAAATACAGGCGAACTGACCAAAATGTACTGTCAGTTTTTTTATAGTCAACTATCCGTCAGTAACTCACTTAGCAATAAGCTTATAAACAGATTTATTATACGCTCGTACGTAAAGTTATTAGCAAATCCATGATTGTTGCACCTACGTAGTTCATTTGCCTACAAATTTTAACAAAGCACGTTGTCAAACACCCTACAAAGGTCAAGAAGGACCACCGAACACAATAGAATTTATATGCTGAAACAAGAATTCTTCACAAATATGTGCATACTATGCCAACTCAATGTATAAACACTTAAAATTAATTGAAGTGTAGCCCAAATACAGTATGAAATTGATCGGTAACTATTCTTTACGCATCGAGTTTCAGGGGAAATATTAGGTACAAAATGGATACATCTGGCATCAGATGTGCAAGACAAAGAGAATGTTAACTGACTCGAAAGTATCTACACTAACCACGTTGAGTAAGGTGATTCACAAGTATACGATCTTATCAGACTTACCCAAGTTCATACTGACGACAACATGCTTCACGAAAGTCTGTCACTGGAGAAAGCTCAGCGTGAACTGGTCTACCACCAAACCAACGTTCGTTTAAATCTTGGACCGCTTTCTCTGCATCTTCTTCTCGTCTGAACTATATAAAACTGTAAGGAATACTAACATGACCGTACTTTTATATATACATTTCCGACCAAGTGATCACCAAGGTTATCACAAACATTCATCTCTTCTATTTCGCCATACTAAAAATGAAGGTAATCAACAATGACTTACCTTTTCCTCACATTCAACGAATACTTCCTCAAAAAAACTCATCGAAAATCTGCTGAGCTTGTACTTCTGTGAGATTAACTTTCAACAATGAAGGAAGACAAGCATCAAATTAAGTGGTGCTAAATACAGTAAAAAGTCGCATCTAACCAGTAGAGAGGACCAAAAAACTAACTGAATAATAACACCGCCAGAACAGTACTAATCAACAACCATTTGGTTATTTAAATAAAAATAATTCCCCTCTGAATATTCTGAAACAGGATAGATAAGATTGTAAATCAAGGACGTGCTTACGCTGCGGAAGATCGACTTCCTACTACATTCAAAAGTGTTAGGAAGACCTGTACTCAAAACTAGGTTTGAGTCGACCATTAAGATACATTTCAATGTACCTTAGAACGGATTCACTTCCAAAACTATAACATTGCAACGACAGTACTTAACAATCGTATTTGTGATCTCCATGTACATTTTGCAAGCACTGGTTTTAGTTCAAACACTGAACAGCTGTGATCGCTTGACTTTTACTAAAGTAATGCATCTGATAGCCATGCTTGCCAGAGCACAATACTAGACATCACCGTCTGGTTTATTTACACATTCAAAATAAATCCTTTATACATACCAGCATTCCAAAATGGTTCCCGCTGGGATGAATTCACTTCGAAGGCGACAGCTGCATTATGCAATCATCCCTAGTGTACAGATGTGTCGATGTTTGCGTTAAGTGATGTGAACTCAAACAAGGGTTTCATAACCTCACTTAGATATCAGACATACAATGAAACCTTTTACTATAGATCAACATACATAACAGGCCTACACGCGTTGACACCACAGGTCAACCAAAGACTAATACCCTAGAATTTATGTTACAGTATAGGTATATTTGCTGTTAAACAACTACTGGATTGAGTATATCCTCCTAAAAAAACAACTAATAACTGACTACGTACTTGCACTTACGGTTATCCACGAAAGCCAAACTGACTTCCCCAGGGCATAAAAATTCGAAACTTGTTATATTGTCCACCCTGTTTTAACGCCCCACCTGACTACGTTATAACTAAGTGCTAGTGGAGAATGAAATGTGACTGACATACCTAAAACTTCACATTAACCGCATACCTAAATATTCAACCAACTTCACGACATACAAGTCATAATTCCCTAGAACTTACTGTGAGATCCATCAGCACTCTGAGCTGTATTTTGAGGGGCTATGTAGAGGTTTTGAAGCAATATCGTCTACTGAAAATAAACGGAATAACATACTTACCTGGCCAAATGATGGTTTGTTGTGAAGTCGAGAACATTGCTCTCCATGACGACAAGCACCAATCTTAAAATAGAATGAACAATTTACTCTGTAGTTGTTAGCCAAAATGAGGAGACTATTTACTTGTCCTTTTCAGTGCCAAAAATTGACGCCAAATACTCCGCCATGTTCTTCGAACTTAATTTGCGCCTGTTTCGCCATAGATATAAAAACAATAACTACCAAATGAGGGGCTTAATAATGTCTCGAAGTTCACATATTGAAATAATAATTTAAGCTATGAATAATTATCCGTCAACAAATAATGTGAAACAAAATGCTCTATTCTCACATGTAATTCTCAGATCATGGCTGCAACTGACCCACGCATTATGTATTGCAAAGTTGGTGACGCCCACCAGCCAATCGGATTGCGAATAGACTTTCCAATCGTAAAACAGAGTCAGTCTGACTTAAAAAATGTGATCATTTTATACTATCTGTACTTTATTTGGTCCCTAGAACTTGATCAATAGAAGGAAACCTGGTGACAGATACGGTACATCAACACATTCATTGAGGAATTATTGCGTAGTTTCATCCGAAACAGTCAACCCTCAAAGTTCCTGAAGACCACGGTCGATCCTTTTTCGGCTGAGATCAGTCAGATATTTTTCTTACATCACAATTTTCGCTAATATTTGTATTATCATGACACACAAATCTTCAGAAACAAAACATGAGACACTATCGGCGCTTGGTGCAACTGTGCCTTTCTAGCTTAATGTGCAGCCCTCAAGTGCAAAGAAGTAAAGCTCTGCTCTGGATTCCGACACCTACAAACGTGGATAGCCTGTTCATCCGTAGGACTACTTTTAACGCCCAAAATCTGACGACAACATGACCTTCCCTCTCATGAACAGATATGGTCTAATTTTCATCCAAAAAGTCACCATTTCGCTGGCACATGGGTGGGGTTCCGGATAACTTTGATGGTAAACTGTTACAACTGGTGAAGTTCCTTCCAGCTGATACCGTGGTCAAGCAGCTGAAAGCGATGAGACCTTAACGTCCCTTCTGTCGTAAGGTGTGAGCAGATGACTGCACACTATTGCGGTGTATGAAAACACCCTTTATCCACAAAACTCCACTGACTAAGCTACCTATCGTTTGCTGCCATGAAAAGTTGCCATATAAATGAGTTCTGTTGATCTACATCTTCTGTCAAACAATCAGAAAGTTGATAAAGTGAACTGATAGAAGTTGGTCAGCCCTTTGATATCTAATCTCTTCCAAAAGCATCAGTTTCACTCCACATTAATTCTCCTGGAGATGGAAGAACGTCCCTCATAAACGGACGACCTGATCCTGCTACCTCTACTTTTTGTGGGCACTGAATGAAAGCAGTTTGTGATCCACTTGATTGGGACTCATCAAAAGTTTCAATAATTGTCGCTATGTGGCACCGCTTCTGAGCATCTGGCTAAGCAGTTTTTACAAGCGAGTAAATAAAGATGAGACAGAAGAAAACGTCCAGTCACCGAAATGAAGAGCCATCTGTGTACTCCATGGCATGATGTTCCATACAGGCCATTTTTTACAGACCCTTTTATGCGACATCCATATTTATCTCAGTCCAGGAAAGCTCACGCCCCTGAATGTCGAAGGTAGCTCACACAAAGTTTTCGGTAACCCACTCAGCAGGTAGGTGCTGTTTCGACGCATCCCGAAATAACCGGCAGTTAGATTCATGGCAAATAACTACAGGCTTACCTACCCAGCCGTCTTGTCTGAAGATTCAAGACCGTGAATTACAAATGCCGGTCAATCCGAGGAACGGCCATGAAGAAGTCCAAAATCTTTAACATCATTCGTAGAAGATATTCGAGGCGCTTTGGTTAGTTACTTTCGAGGCATGTTGAATATTTTAGGTTTAAAAATGCGAATAAGGTATCTTTTGTGCCAGGGCAGTTTCTTCTGAGGCTAATTTCAATAATGGCATGAGAGCTTGAGTGTCTGTAAGAGTAGTGAAGTCACAATTTATAACTGAGTATCGAAAAAACTGGTAATACACCAAACAAGCCATTAACTGGTGCACATCGGTTTGTTGGCATCAATATCCGGATGCAAATTCCCTCGCTTCCATCAACTTAGCGTTGATCTGGGCCTCACACTCCAAAGCGTAGACAGAATCAAAGATTAGTGGTCGACATGTTCACCTGAATACTTTTCACGACCCCAAACCGAAGGGCCTGCTCCCCTTTTTGTGATTGGGATTCCTCACCTTCGTCATTTCGTTGCCCTAGATAATGGTCGTGCTGTCACACACATGTGTACTTAAATGCTAAAGCTGACTCCCGCCGAACCCCCAGCAATACAGCCAATTATTTTTGAGCTATTTTGCCGGTCATTCCGGAAGACTCATTGTACGAAGGGGAGACTAGTTTCTTGAATAAGGGAACGCAGACCATAACCGCCATTTAATACCGCTTTATTAGACACAAGAAACATCACGCCACCATCGTATGGTCCTCATTTGTGTGATATGTATGTATTAGTCGAAAATCCCTGTTTATATAAATACGAATTATAGGATCATCATCGGCTGGACGAATTATTTGGCGACAGAGTGAGGAAATTACCGGACAGCCAATTCGCCCGCCCGGATGCACGAGATAACCGGATAACTACCTTTTGGTTAAGACTTTTATCATTAACTACTCCAGCCCAGGCGTTTTCCAGTTGTACTTGATGTGCATCAGATGGTGGCTATCCATGTCCCGATAATTCACATAACCGAATTTCAGTGTTTGATGGCGCAATCTGTAGCGGATAAGCTAGAGCATTCGGATGCTTCTTATCATCAGAGGTCGTTGGCCCAGCGTAAAACACGTAGTGCCCTGTCGTTTCCTAAAGCAACCAGATGAATGGCAGCCAAACCACGGTTATGTGAATCCACAATCTCACCTAAGCCCCTGTGCCCAAGACCCCCAAGAACGAGGAGGCTCCTTCAACGGCACCGAAAACCGCACATTACCCGATGACTTCATTGGTAGCGTGCGTTACACGTGATCATAGTCCTGGTTGTCTGCCACACACATTTTAACGGAGGTTGACTGTCCCATAGATTCAGAGGCCAGAGATACCACTCCTCTAACAACAGCCGGTTAATTTTAACTTAGTTCTTTGTTTAACCGGCTAGCAACGGTGAAAACTGCATCTCTACCCATCAAAAAACTTAATGCAGGTTGGACTTTACCTCCAGTTTAACGTTGTGAATCTGCAGCATGCGTCGTGTTCCATTCGTTATAATTAAAGTCCACCCTTTAATTTGACACTCGTTTAGCCTCACCGATAAAAAATGTATCTGGTGACTACGGGTTTCAAATTTCTTGGCTCATTTTTCGAAAAAACCCCAATATACACTTCACGTTATCGCTTACTGTTTACACTGTTTGACGCGGGTGGATCAGAGCCGTCAGGGGCAGTAAGAAAACGATAGTATCTCAGGAATCTTATTCAAAAGTTGGGGCCAGACACTAGGACACTACAAATCTACCTTACCATACTCTGAATTTTTCGTTGAACTGATCCCCTCTTTGAAACGGCAAGTCCGAATCAAACCAAAATGGGAGAAAATTAGGTCATACTTCGGGCTAATACAACTTCAGCACACACTTTTATCCGATGAATCCATCCAACCTACGTGAAGAACACCACAACAGATCGGATGGGTGTAGCAACTGAAATCCATACTTCGCAGAGTGAAGCCGTACCACAGTCTCACCCCATCTCCGTAAGAACACCGGCAAATTTTATTCCTGCCTCCAGCTCGCATCCTAATTAATAGGTAACCACCCAGCTAGTTGATACGCTTAAGGAACACACCCACCGTGGCGGTTCGTCACAGCTGCCATTCCCGGAAATCAGCAGTTAACTAGTGGGTTTCATAGGCGTTCTAGGTTTTTAATTTGACCTCGCTGGCCTTCAGTGAGCACTGTAGTGACCAAAAACTACCTTCATGGTGCATTTACCGCAGGCCACTCACTCTTCATCTTAACCAGCAATCCATACACAGCGTAATAACAAACTCGTGCTTTCTGAGGTGGGTAGTCTCCTGAGGAAGCCATGTAGTAGCGACGGTGACCTGGATGACGTAAAAATCTCACAGAACTACCAGGAAGGCATCTTTCTACACACTTTCGGATAATTTTGTGTCCCGAACTCAGTCTTCGTTTATCAGTCAATATCAAACACTTAGGCAGAAGAACAAATGAGGTAACTTTCCCGGCCCAAATATGCAACCAGGTTTTGGAGGTTTCTGAACTATGCTGAAGTGCGAATCTCGCCACTGAAAAAACACTCCTTACTTGGGAACAGTGAGTCAGAGAAGAATGTTTTATTTATATCAGGTTTGATATTACTTTCAAACGGCCCCCGGCCCCTGAACTCAGTCGGGTTGAGGCCTATTCATAAGCCGTTACAAAACCTCATCGATCTTTTTCCCTTGTTCCAGGATGTATCTATGTACAGTCTCGTTCAAAAATATATTTTGATGGTAAATTTGCTTCCTTAGTTTTGTGTCATCGTGTTATACAATACATGCTGTGCGATAACCGTAAGAGTAAAATCTCTGAAAAGAGCCCTCTCAGGCGAACGTCTTGTTTTTGATAACCGTAAGACACATGGGGACTTTTGACAACCACCTCGCACTCCGGGGGGATTCGGTGGACTTGTGAATGCTTCGGAACTGGAGAGTTGGTACCAGTAAGAAGAAGTCACTAAATGTTATACTGGACACAATCTAGCCATAGGCAGCGTAATCAGTGCATGACCTCTCAGGTTCCCCCAGGATCCCCGTCGGTGGTCACAGATCAGATAGAGTAAAAGTCGAAGCGCTCACCAACACCCTTTCGGTTCATATCGCAAAAATGACACTTCAGAAGCCTCGCCGGAACAAAAGAGAGTCTTACATCACCTGTGTCTATGTCATTACACTCGGATATACAACTCGTGGTTGCCAAAATCAAAATTTCTTACACCCAAGTATTCGCAAACGCTTCACTAATCATGCTGAAAACCTGTAGGTCCGGCTCTTGTCTGAATCAAAATTACATTTTGAAATCAAATCAGGTGCTTGAAGCCATCGACCGAAAATTCCAGTTAACTCGTGGTGTGGTAGCACAGA